GCTCTGTGCTGACAGCTCAGAGCCTGGAGCCTGCTTCCGGTTCTGTGTCTCCCTCTTTCTCTGCCCCTCCCCCGTTCATGCTCTGTCTCTCTCTGTCCCAAAAATAAATAAACGTTGAAAAAATAAATAAATAAATAAATAAATAAATAAAAATAAAAAAAGAAAGATAAAGAATTCATCTAATACATGTAGGACAAAAGGTGCAGCATTGGACCTTGTTTTATGAGCCTCTTATCTAATAAAAATGAAATACTACATAAAATTACAGTTACTTGGAAGAGTATATTAATGCATTCCTAGTCATCATCAACAAATTTTTAAAAGTCAACCGCCATTTTAAGTGATAATCATCTATCTGTACTGCACAATCTGCTGAGATACCCAGCACTTGGCCCCTTCCTTAGTCCAAAGCAACTCTGGGCCATTCCTGGCTGCTCTGGCCGCCCTAAGAGATTTCCGGAAGCTCCTTCACAACAGGATGCCTGACATTCGCATCAGTAGTCCTGGAGTCCTTGCCAATAGGTGGTCGTTAGAAACATTCGCTTCTTGACTGAACGACTGAACGAAAGAGGAGTCACTTCTTTGTCCCGGCATCTTCAGTGGAGGCAGCCCCTTCTCTCACCTCTGCAAGGACAGTGGCGCGTCCGTCTGCCCACGACTGAGGGGCGTCGGGACGGGGGAGGGTTCGGTGCCCAAACCGACGAAGTCCCGGCCACATGGGGATGCGTTGGTCACCCTGCTTTGACCCTGTGATTCGAACCTGTCACCTCCGAGCTTCACCGGAGGGCACCGGGTGAGGACGTTTTGGGGAGAGCCTTTTATGTCAATGGTTTTCGGGCTTTGGTCTCAGGCCCGTCAGAATCCCCAGAGAAGCGGCTTCCAATCTTCTGCCCGGACAGTCGAGCCCCGCGAGCCCTCAGGATACAATGTCCAGACAGTCCCTTAATCGTTCTGGTTTCAGTACAGCGTCACCACCCTCACTCTGCCTGGCCTCCCTCAGTCCCTCTGTCAGCCTCCGTGTGCCAGCCTGGCCCGCCTCCATTTTCACAGGATGCGGCCACAACCCCAAACAGCACCACATCCTCACAAGGCTGAGGGACGCGACCACGAGAAGGACTTTCTCCTTGACGCTCCCCAACCCCCACCCGTTCCCGCGAGGGCAGTCTTTCCCAGAAGTCCCCGGCACACGCCTCCTTAGGTCTCATTGGGCAGAGCTGGGTCACATGACCACACTCGGGCCAATCACCGGCAAGAACACCGAGGGAGACAAAATTGGCTTTTACGAAGTATGGGGCCTCCCCAGTGTTGACGCTGGAACGTCAGTTTGGTTTCGCAAGGGAGGAGGGAATAGGCATGTTCGGAGGCCACCCAAAATGGCTGCCTCCGCGATATGAGCACAGCATTGTTTTCCATCCCAGGTGGGGTCTACGGACTCTAGTTCTAAAGGCTTCTCACCTTTTTAAAAGTACTTGGGAGCCTCTCAGCTTTGACCTTCCCAGGAAGGGGGCCTGCTTGGGCCATTTGGGGATAAGAGTCTTACAAAACTGAACATATCTAAGACCTGGTTGAGAGGTGCCTGCCTGTAGGCACGAGAAGCCTCCCAGAAAAGGAATCACCTAAAAAAAGAAGGGGTTAATTCCATCACTGCCTCAGCCGCCATTTATTGATCACCTACTGTGTGCCAGCCATGGTGATCAGGGCTAGTGGTGAACAGCACAAATGCAAAGGGCAAACAATTGTCACTGTCCATCCCAGCGCCCATCGGCTCATGGGGCACCCAAGGGAGAACGACCTCTATTAGAATAAGGAAAATCTGCAAGAGCAGTTTCTGGAACAACATGCTGAGCACTTAGCAGCACTGCATCAAAGCCTCAATGAGGGAGCACAGGTGGCACAAGGCGGGGCAGAGGGGACTTACCTGCTTGTGACATTTATGGAGATCATTTGTGCTCTGGATGGACGCAGTAGGCTGAGCACGGAGCCAGGCGGGGTGGGGGAGGGGCAGCGGGGAGGGTCCAGGCGTTTACAAGACCAGCGAGATATCCCTGGACTCTCCCAACACCAGTCGGGAGGAACTTAAGGGCGGCTGGAGTTCCTTTAGACCTGCGGGGGTGACTATACTGTCAATGTGACCTGTCCCCGGGTTGGTATGTGGGGACGAAACATGAATTTCAGAATTTAGGGAGAATTAGAGGAGTCACCCATCAATTCTCTATGCTGATGTTGCCGCCTCTAGAAATTTGCTTCAGTTTATTATAT